GTATTAGCTCTATAGTAAAGTGTTTCTGACAATACTATCTTACAGCAAAGTTGAGTAATTTACTGCACCCTAATATAAGCGCACATGTAGATGATGACACTTTACTGTGGAACTAATTAGTCTATTCAGCAGTAAAGGACGTGTAGATTCATCCCCGGGTTTTTCCTCCCTCTCCTGAGCTCAGATCTGGGTGTCCAAAACACAGCAGTTCCTCTGTCCAGCCTATGGAACCTTAATTTCCCTACCAAATCCAAGTCCAAATCCAAATCCAAATCCAAATCCAAATAAAATCAGGATAAACCACTCATCCAGGACACATCCTGTACAATTCCTTGGCACATTTGTGAGTTCTGGAATATAATCTACTTTAATATAGACAATAAAGCTTTCAACAATTCTATGTGCTTCAGTGAACAACCATTTCACAGCAATAACTTGTTCCTAGGACTTAATTATTTAGATCAAATGCAACTAACATTATTATTATTTCTCAGGTCTATTGACAGTGTTTATGCATGTGTGGAAAAAATGTGCAGCTCCCTTCTTTTCTGATTCAAGATCGAATCTTAATGTTTTTAGTTTACAAAGCAAATGATCCATCAAGTCTCTTGTTCAATATAAATTTTATTTGGGTGGTATTTATTACCATTATGGATGGCTACAAAAAAGACTTTTAATGCAGAGTGAAAATTTGTAAAGCCCTGACACTTGTTTCCATGAAGACAACTAATAGATTGCTGTAATTTTAAATAAAACATTTATTGTTTTTAATGGTCTGTTGTTAGTAGATAATTTAAATGTAGGAGGCACTTCTAAATGAAAACAAAGCAGAAATCATACACCTTACAAAGCTTTAGTTATAAGATTATATATTCAGTGAAACAATAACTTTGTGTCTTTAAATAATTATGCAAGTATTTATTATTTGAATAATACCTAAATGCATGAAGGACATGTTTTGACCAGCTCACAGTGGTAAATATAGGGATAACACAAGATTTCATATTCAAATATATCAGAGTGAGTTTTGAAGAGCAAGTGACAAGGAGAGTTTTAGGGCAAGATGCTATGTGACCCAAAATAGCACTGCCCTTATCCCCTCTCTAAGTTATCCCATCCCATTTTACTCTTGACTCCATATTCTCCTTACATCCTTGAAAAAAATTCTAACTCCATACCTTTGTCAGCTTTATAGTCCACCTGTCACTAAAAAACACTGCACAATTCCTTGCTGTGTCATTTCCTGATCCTTCCACATACTTTCTCCAGCAGAAACTTAATTTTCCCAGAGAAGCTTGTCTGCTTTGTTTACAATTATTTCTCCTTCTATTACACTCCATCCCTTTCCTACTTTGTAGTATCCTACTTACATCCTCATACATTCCTGCTGTCTTGTTTCTCTCTTCTGTCTGCATGGCTTGCATGATTCTATGTTTTACTCTGTTCTACATATGTTATCCCCATAGGTTATTTTTATCACTCTCTTGCACATGCTGTTCAACTTTCAGGTTTCCTTCTCCTTCCTTTTCCTGTAACTCTAATTCCATTAGCAGCTCCTAGCTGGTAGCACCCAAAAATTTTCATATCCTGGATTTGTGTTTTCCAGCCTTTTTTATGTTGGTTTTAGAATTTCTTCATAGGAAAGTAAAATGTACACATGAAATCCCATGTGATCATCTTCCACAGTGTCTGAGGCCTTCTTGACTGATAGCTTCCTGCCTCTTCTAGGGTCTTTCACTGAGTGAACTACTTTTATCCAGTTTGTTTTTCTTTCCAGAAATTGTAGTGAGGTAGGGCTTGAACTTCTAAAATGTTGGAGAACTCTGATAACAGTTTTTCTTTGATTATCAAAGAGCATAGCAAATTCCCTGCTACAAATCTTCTGCTCAACTATCTTAAGAATAGCAGGACTACTACTCCCTTTTCTCTGAGCTGCAGAAATAATGAGATAAATCATGTGTGGAGAGGGGTTGCACCTATTCCAAAACCTATTTGCACTTCAAAAAGAGTATGAGGGATGGAACAAAAAGAGGCATACATGATAGAAGGATCACGGCTATTTAGATCTCTCCAATTTTCTGTATGCTTTGTGCTGTGAATAGTCATTCAAAGACCTTTCAAGGTACTGAATTGGTATCACCTTTATAAAGAATCTCAGTGGTCTGTTGGGAAAAAAAATCTGCCCCCCAACTGGCATCTGATGAGTATTAGTTTTATTTAAGCCTTATGTATACTAAAGTTTAACTTTTTTGCATTGATTTGCATGTGAAGTTGTAGTAATAGTGTCAATATTTGGAGATTTATATATACATTTTAAGTTATATGGTCATGTCAGGCATAACAATAACTCACATGTAATTCAGATGCATGAACTGAAAAATAAGCATACCTCACTGCTTTATGTATTTTTGGATAAAATATTGAACTTTTCTGATCAAATATTAAACTTTAAGTGATCTATATATCTTTTTAAAATATATAAAAAACTATAAGTTTTCTGCACAAAAATGCAGGTAGAGTTTGATGTTCATGCACATAACAAAATTTTAATGCTCATACATCCACCTTATAGAATTAGCTGAACATGCTAGATTACACTTTAATATCATTAATACTTTTATATTCATATATACTCCCTTTAGAATATATGTTGTCAGTGAAAACCCATTTTTAGTGTACTCAAGAAAAATGTTTCTGTAGTATTAATGGCATGTTTAGATAGAGATGCTTAAAAAGCCACAGTAGGGAAACTGAAGTATGCCTTTTTATAACATAAAATCTATCCTTTAATAGATGAAAACCATCCTTTTACAGAAATCTATCCTTTAATGGGTTTTAATAGGTTTTTTTTTGCAGATGATGACCATTTGTCCCTACATTAACATTAGACTTAATACCCAATAGTCATTACACCAGGTCATAATATATTTAATTTTAATGGAAATAGAGATCCCACAATGAAAATATATTTTGCATAAAGAGATGCAGAATGCAAAATA